AGCAAGGAGCCCAAGTCGGGTTTAGCAAGGAGCCCAAGTCGGGTTTAGCAGTACCAAGTTACGGGTAGGTGTCGTCGTCAAACTCGTTGCAAGCTCTGTCTGTATGATATCGGAAACAATTTGTCCTTCGGTCGCCATTTTTGCCACCGATTTGACAGCGACGCTGCTATTTAAGTGTCTCTACGTGGAGAGCGAGAGAGAGCCCAGAAAAGGGTTTACCTGGGGTGGGGTTCGAACCCACGCGGACATACGTCCATTGGAGCTTAAGTCCAACTCCTAAACCACTCGGCAACCCTGATGAACGTGGTACATGGGCCATGGGTTAGCGATTACAATTTCCTCCCTTGCTATTTTGAACGTGTGTCTGCGTCAGGGCGCCTGCGTCACGCGTGCTGCCCGCACCATTCTTCATTCGACCTGCAAGTTTCAAACTGGCTGGCCGCATGCCGGCTCGCTCCGTTGCGGGGCTGAAATGTTTGCTGGTTAAATGTTTTCTTCAACCTAACACTGGTAAATATCGCTAAAAGTTTTTCTTGTTCTTCTTTAAATACGTTGGTTAAATGTAATGGGTTTAAAATGCATGTGCTTGTTTCGCATTTGCTCTTTTGGGCTTGTTTAAAAGTTAAAAGTTTGGAGCTTTGTGTCGTTTGTGCTTAAAACACAGTGTTTTATCTTGTCAGTGTTTTGGACATTTCTCTACTTGTTTAAATTCCGCCTGCTTTTCTTTCTTTTAAAAGTTAAAGTTTGGGACGTGTCGTTTGTTTAACTCTTTCATTGTCGCCGCCTAGTGGTTCGGACGCATACGTCCGAATTTTCAATAACAGAAAAAAATGACGTTCAATAAAAGAAACAAATGTATCAAATCAACCAAAAACGGCTTGTTACACTACAAAAAACCTTTCAGATAATATCTGTAGAAAGTTGCGCAATTTTTGTGCCATGGTTTTTTTGTAACAAGTAAAAATAAAATGACCATGGTAGCCATCTTTAACTCTTTCCCTGTCACCGCCTAGTGGTTCGGACGCATACGTCCGAATTTTCAATAACAGAAAAAAATGACGTTCAATAAAAGAAACAAATGTATCAAATCAACCAAAAACGGCTTGTTACACTACAAAAAACCTTTCAGATAATATCTGTAGAAAGTTGCGCAATTTTTGTGCCATGGT